CCTGGGCGGCAAGAAGTCGCCGTTTTCGTCGGCGGCCGAAGCGTCGACGAGCGTCGAGGCCCAGGACCTTTCGGCCGTCAGCTGGCCGAGGGCCTGCTCAACAGCGTCACGGCGGGCAAGGGCTGGGACGTGGCCGAGGCGTGGCTCTTCCTGGCCAAGGCGGTGCAGCGGTGCGACCGCACGGCGCGCGCCAGAGAGTGCCTCGAGTACGCCCTCACCCTCGAAAATACCAAGCCCGTCCGCCCGCTGCGGTTGGCGCTGACTCGGTGATGGCCCGCCCGCCCGCCCGCATCGCCGGTGTGACGGCAGGCGGCTGGCCGGGACGTGAGGCGGCGGGTGAAAGGCTGCGAGCCGTTGGGATAGGCTTCCAGCGCGCCCGGGTGACGTCGCCCGTGTCGTCGTGGCCTCGCTGGCCCGTCGACCCGCCGCTGTCGCCGCGATCGCCGGCGGGGCTCGTCGCAGCTGCCAAAGACCCTCGGCTCGCCTCCAGCCTTGTCGCCGCGTTTCGTTGCCTGGCTGCCCTGCTCTGCTCGATTTTGAAAGGTGCGCTCGTGGCTCCATCAGATACCATAAACTCTCGCTCTCACTGTCCTCGCCGTCGTCTCCCTCTTTCTTCTGCCCCCTGTGGCCTTCTGCTCTTGGTCTTTCTCCCGTTCGCGACTCACTTTTGACTTTGCTGCGTCGCTCGATGTCCTGCATGGCCGGCGCAAGAAATGGACCGCGTGATGGCGCGCATCGACCTGGGCCTCGGCGCCGCGACTGTGTCTGTGGGACAGCTCGGAACGGGTATGTGGCATGCTTGGATCGATCAGCCTCGTTGCTGACCTCGCTCCGAGGGACTGTCGAGCGCGGCCGAGGACTCACCTAGCCGCTAGGCGATGACGACAAGGCTCGCAGACAATGGCCGTGGCTGGACGACGGATCCCTTTGAGGGTCGGCTGTGTTGGAAAGGCGAGGGAATGGACGGCGTCAGCCCATCGCTGCGAAGGGGGTCCTTGGCGGCCAGCCTCGGCGATTCGCAACGTCGCCGTGCTGATCGTGCAGTCAGAGGTCGGATAAGTCACGGCCTGCGAGAAGCATGACGATGCAGGTACTCACGCGGCTTCGGAATGAGAGCGACCGGTCGTTTCGCCTGGTGTCGCGTAGACGGAACTTGCTGCAGCGTCGGGGTGATGTGTTGCGGATCGTGGTCTGTTTCCGCGCCTGAGTGCAAGCGGAAGTACTGCGAAAAAGATGGGAAAAAGGCGCGGCACGCGAGGCGGATGAGTGGCACCGCCGGCAAATGACACGGGCGACAAAGCTGGCGGCGCGAAGCCTGTGACGTACGACGCGGCATCGATGCCTTTGAGACGATCGACGGGTGCCCACGGCAGGGCCGGTGGCGGAAACCTCCTCGAAGGTATACGGCTGTGCGATGCGTGGTGATGCCTGGGGGGCAAAAGGCGGTGGGGAGGGACGACGACATCAGCCTCCGAAGGTCAGTCAGGGCATTGACGCGCGGTGGGCCCGTGGCTCGAACGCACTGATGGGTCGCGACGCTGCCTCAGCTGCAGCGATCACCGGAAGGGCGGTCGGCGAGGCCGTTCTGCTTGAGTGGCGAGCTCGCTCTGCGTGGATGGCGATGAGGAAGAGGGCGGAGAGTGGGTCAGGAATGAGAGGCATGCATGCATGCATGAGGTTGCGATGAGTGTGTGCGGGCGTAGCCTCCACACGGTGACGGCTGCGGCCTCCTCACGGCGGTAGGAGGTGAGGGTGACTAGGGAGCATGCATGCTCGGAAGGCTGTCAATCGATCATGAGGGCGATCAGTGGGCCCGACTCGCTCCCTCGCTCGCTCCACCCTATCGTCCTTGACCTCAACCGACCGCCATCGAGGCCGGCCATACGCATATAAGCCTGCTGCACCGCCGACTCACCTTGCCGTGGCAGCCATGCTCTTGACGAGTCCATCGAAGGCATGCAGAGAGACATACCGGTAACGGCATATGACGAGACGAGGAGGGATCGGCATAGATGTGGTGGTGGAGGCAGGGTGAAGGGGGGCCAAGGACGACGAAGACACGTAAACGGATGGGAAGGGGGCAGGGAAGAGAAGAGAGGGCAGGAGTGCGGATTCAGTAAGGCAAGCAAGGAAAGGGCAAGGCTCGAAACCGAGCGAGGGAAGGATGCGGCGGCGATGGGTGGATGGGTGGAAGCGGAAAGGAAAGAGGGGGCGACGGGTCGAGCCGTCGCTTTATAGCCGCGTTGCCCAGCCTGGAGCGGCATGGACCGACCTGACCTGACCCGACCGGGCGAGGCTAGGCTAGGCCAGGCTGGCAAGCTCAGGCCCGGCCCGACCTGCCCTGCACCGCCGCCAGCTACGACCTGCGCGT